ATAGGCTTTAGGACCTTTTCAGTATTCTGTTCTCGAAGTTATGAAGTGGAAGGGTTTTGCTGGAGTTTTTTTAATTAGGAAAATTAATTTTTTCTTAATCTTACAACACATTTCTGCTGTGAGATACTATGCAATGCCATTGTGTTCTGTTGATAAATGAAATATTCTAGAAATGTGTTGGTTGGAGTAATTTGGCTTTGTAAAGCTAAATCCTTTGAACATGTCAGTATGCTCTCCATTCTCCTTGATACTCGGTATTTTGAGGAGAGGCGTGGCAACTAAAGCAGCCATGAGCTTCACAAAGTAGAGACAGTTTTTTGGGGGGATTTTCCATGTTGGGGAGGGCATCAAGGGTTTGGTCCAAGTGAGTGGAATGCTTGAATTTTTTTTTTTTTTTTTTTTTTTTTTTTTTTTTTTTTTTTTTTTGTGTGTGCGTGCGTGTGAATTACTATAAAAGCTGGCTAAACAGTGAAAGGATGAAGGCAATCCCTTTCTGGAAGTTGTGTTTGAGAAATTCAGGGGGAGGATGGGAGCTTTACTAGTTGGAGCAAAGTCTGCTTTTGTTGGAACTGAGGATTAAGATTTTTTTTTGGTGAGCAGCATTACTAGGGGACAGCAAATAATTACACCATATTAAAGGCAGGGTGCCAGAAAGTGGAGTTTTATGTATATGGGCAAAAACATACTGATGAAGGCTAAACTGTGATGGAAAGGAGGGGACCCATATAGGTATGTTTGAGATAGGTTGCTCTTTGTCACTGCATATGCTTGCTAAGGACAGGAACTCCTAAGGTATAAATAAAAGTGTGTTGTAATTAGAGGGGCAGATGGTTCTCTACAGTTCATTCTAATAAATATGCTTTTCCTGATCATACTACAATGATAATGCAAAACTTCACACCTCTCTTACAGAGCAATTTCTTTTCCAACTAGCTAGAATTAATTGTTGTTCTGCAACATTTTTTCTCTCCGGTGAGGCTAGGATTGAAAATATTCAAATGTTAAACCCAAAAAGAAATCAAGTCTGTATCTGGTATCTAGATTCCTTCCAAAAGGAGTCTGAATATTCCTTTTCAGTGTCTGAAGAGTATAGGTTGGGCCAAGCAGTGGAGAGACCACTGCTCCTCTTCTGTTGTTTGTTTGTTTTTTTTCTTAATTCTGGGTAGTTAGTATATGAAGACTCAGTTATGATACAAGCTGCGCATAGGCTGCTGAGAGCAGGAGACTGTATGGCTTGTGGGGTAATCAAGTGTACCTGAGTCTCAGGCACTGATCATACTTTGTAGAGTGTGTAGAAATCTATTGATGGAGAGCATGCTGTGTCAGTGTGAACGTGCACAAGGCTTTAATAGTTGTATTTTTCCTTTGTTTTCTCAGAGAAAGAAGGAAGACTGTCCATTTTTACAGTCTTCATTCAGGAATATTTTTAGGAAAAATATACTCTGTGATCAGCTGTCACCTAGGCAGCATACAGGAACGTTCTCACCCATTTTATAGATTTAAAAGAAAGGGAACTGAAACTGAGGGTGACTTTGAATTTTAACACAGCAAAAATATTCAGTAGTTTTTAGCCAGTGTGTGCTTTTGAGCTGCTTTACTCGATTTGATAAATTATTCACAGATGACTGCAAATTCTAGCCAAATTGCTTATTTAAATGCATCATTACTGGACACCTCACCAGCTTCTCATCCATTTCAGCACAGTGTACTCCTACTTCATTTCAAAGCTTATTTTACTTAAGAAATCACTTTATTTTTCCTGGTTTACTGGCTGTGCTCAGAAGATGATGATTTTACTACTCTTTTAAACCCATTTATATGTTGCTTACATTGCAGCAGATACGATGTTTGACTACAAGGCTTTTTTCCTGCTTATCTGGTCCATTTTATATGATAATGTCTAAAGTAATCTATTATTTAATGAGCAGTTGTTTATTCATCGATTCTTAGATTTTACCCTTCAGATTTGGTTGCTGGATATTTCATACAGAATGGCTCAGGATTTCTGGATACAGTGTGTCATAGTATATATAATGCCTTTTGCTACAAATGTTTTAACTGCAGTGTAAGTAAAAACAGACTGGATTTTGTGTCCAAACCCAAATTTTAATTGGCAGACTGGTTCCCTTGGGGCATACTACAGTTGTGGTTCAGTCCATAGCATTGGAGAGTAGGAAATCATGTCCCAACAGAGGAGGGAAAAAAAAGAAAAAAATTACTGCTTTATTACATCTTCTTTTTTATTTTTTATATACTTACAAAACCTACCAGCAACACAAATGAAAAACAGATACTTACTGTGCTTTGTCCTTTGCAACAAAGGACAGTTGTCTTTGTCAAGCAGGCTGAAGACCGTAATAACTACAAAGCCTTGTTCAGGTCTAACAGTAGGTGTGGGAAAATTACATACAGATAGAGATCTTGGTTTCTTGCCAAGGAACATATCAGACTCTGAGGTAACCTGGATGACTTTGTACCCTACCCTGTATGACAGAGCAGCAGATGTTTGGCCAGCTGCCACCCAGAAGCACTGGTAGCCTTGAGGGTCTGGCTAGCCACCAGACAGCCTGTTGGCAAGATCTTGGAAGCCAAACCTTCCAGCAGCCTCTGATGGTGCTGCTGTAAGGCCCGGAGCTCAGAAACCCCAATATCTTCGTTGTTCATCAGCCAGCGATGGCACTGGTGTGGAAATCCCAAACTGTTGGTGTCCTGGTACTTATGCTCTGCAGCAGCCCTCTGGATAAATTGTGAGAACCTCATAGGCCTTGTGTCCTTGATGGTCTTCAGGCCCCGGGAGGCAGGCAGAGAAGCTGCCAGAAAAGCAGACAGGTATCTAGCTCAGCTTTCATTAGAATTAAACTTTTCTGCAGGAACATGCCAAATTCAGCATTTTCTAGCAGAAAGTTGCTATACTGGAGCAATCTTAAACAGCCTTATTAAAATTTAAATTCTTCCAGCCTGAAGAAGAAAAAAAATTGGGGAGGTTGGAAGTTGGTGATCTCTCCTTTGCGTCTGTGGGGTTATGATGTTGTTCTGTTGAAGTCTAGAATAGGTCAGAAAACTAAAACAACCAGAATGTCCAGAAGAAATTAAGGGTTTGGGTGTTTGGTTCCCAAGAAGGAGCTTGAAACAGTAGTAAAGATTTTGCAGTTCATTTAGGAATTTTTTGAAAGTTTGAGGGAGAAGAAAGATACGAGTTTAAAGTTTTTTTTTAAATTACGGTGTTTAATAGTAAAAGCTTGATCTTGGTTAATATTTTGTGTTTTAATTACTAGCATACCAGAGAAAGGGAGAATAGTTTGTGCTGTTTCCATATAAGTTGTAAAGCTTGATGAGACCTACTTGCAATTGAAGCATGATCACTGCACATGTTCCTCACTGAATTTTTACAAGGACTACCTTGAGCACAACTGTTATCTTTGTGTAATATTAATTAAACTATATATCCCAAAGCACATCAACAGCGAACAAATAAAAACCCAAGTGGATTGCTACTCTCATTAGATTATCTCCCTTTCTTTCTCCTCCCCTGTCTGCCTAGAATTGATATTTCTATCTGGAAATGCCAGATCCCAAAGTGAATATTTTGAACAGTGAATGCTGTAATGTGTTAGAGCAAATTTTTTGTTCAAAGAAAGAAAGATAGCTGAGGAGGAGGAGGAGGAGGAAAAGGCAGGTGCCCAGAGACCAGAGACCTCCTTACCTGTTCTGCTTCATCCTTTTTGTGCATCTCTGTGCAAGTCCAGTTAACTTTTAAGTACTAAGAACATGTTGGAGTCTAATAATGCAAAATTAATTGTCCTGTGAGTTGAGTTGATCATGTAAACATCCACATCTAGGAATTAAGTATACAGTAAATTTTGATTTAGAATGAAGGACAATATTGAAATGTCAACTATATAAAAGTAAAAATAATAATAATAAAAAATCTTGTAAATCTTTCACCAGCAACTGCAAATTAAACATCCTGACCATTTCAATATGTGCTCAGATTTTTGAAACTTTAAACTGTTCTCACATGCTGGTACTTCTACTTTCCTCTGTATCAAATCTATAATGTATATTTTTCGCATGTTGATTCTTTTGCATCTCTTATTCTCAATAGAGAGCTGCTTGTAAGTAGCATGTAAAGCTAAGCATTTGTTTTAATGATTTCATACAGTGTTTGCTCTTGCCCTGCACTGAGGAACACTCCTCCTTTCCTTTTTCATCCTTTTAAATAAGTTATTCAGGCTTGATCCTAAGTTGTGGCTTCCGTGAATGGCTTTGCTTGAATTTGCATAGTGTCTTTTATTTCATTTTTCTTGGTGCTCATCCTCCCTGATACGTGATTTTACTACTTAGGCCATGTTTGTTCATACAAACAGGCACCTGACAAGAAATTTACAGCAAGCTTTGTCATTGCTTTGTTTATAGGTCTTCTTTCTTTTAAATCAAAAAACAAAAGGTGCCAAAGATTCTACTACATGTCAGTTTTTTAAAAGTTTGCTTTTTAGAAATCATAATGCGCTTCAGTCAGGTCCTCAGTTTGCAAAGCGATTTTTGAGGAACGGGAAACTTTTCTTACTATTTGAAGAAACTTTCATTAAAAACAATGAAACTTGTTTTCAGTCAAGTACAGATTGTTTAGTTATATACAATAACTGAAGTGTGAAAAGATCCTTCTTCTGCAAAATCTTCTAAATTCAGCAATACAGTTTAAATGTTCTTTATATATGTTAGCAGAATGAAGGCACCAGAAGAAAATTAAAATTAGTTTCTGTTGTGTATCTGAAACAAGCATCAGAAGACTGCGTTTAAAGAAAAATTTGGATAAAGAAAGCTTCAGGGTTTTTTGGTACACAAGCAGTAGGCTGTAAGAGATAAGATGTTATGGAAACAGGTACAAAGATTGGAGATGCAATTTGGACAAGAGCTGACTAAGAATGTTTTCTTTCTGTTGTGTGGAAATCAGTCCTATGATGGTAGCAAAATTAAATATTCTGCCTGTGTTCATTTAGCTACAGATTGGCCCTTTTGGGACGCGGCTCAAATGCAAGAATAAAACTGAAACTACTCAGAGTTTTGAAGTTTTTCTTTCCTCTGCACCCAAGAGAATGAAAGGAAAAAAAGTAAAACATGGATCAATGAACTCTTTTTTTCAATTATTTTACAAAACAATACAGATTGCGGGGCATGAATCATGTAATGGTATTTCACTTCTTAAAAATTTAATGAAACAGATTATTCTCTGAAGTAACCTGCTGTGCCTGTTTCGCAGTGACAATATACAACATTCCCTGAAGCTATTTCTGACATCACTGAGTCTAACATGGTTTAGGATGTTTGATGGAAAATTAGGTGTAGGACAGATGCTGGTAGAGTACCCAGTAATTTCAGGGATACTACACTAAACAGTCTGGGCAGAGTAGATTATTATCTTATCAGCTGTCAGAAGTACTAATGCAAAATAAGCAAATGGACTGTGTGACAATCTGATACACTATTCTGTTGCTTCACAATAGTAAAAGCTGCTTCTGAGGTTTTGTAGGTTTGATAAAGTTAAGATACATGTTGCTACTTATGACGTGTTGGATGTAGAACTGAAAGCTTTATGTCGTGTTGGGGCATGTTTTCAACGATGCTGCAAACAGTGGGCAGGGAGCAAGGTACATGGGAGGCCGCTTGCTTGTTAAGCCTTGAGCTTCATGATTTTAAGATTCGAGGGAGGTTTGTGGCACTAGCTGACCTTAGCTGTCAATATACAATGGATTTTTGGCTAATTTTTAATGTGGGTTAATATTTAGCGTGCTTTGAGAAACAAATACTCTAATACTTCTGAAAGTTGCTTTGTTATAATGTTTCCAGTGATACAGTGCTCGGAAGTGACTTCTGATTTTGGGTGTGTCACTCTTTGGATGAGAATTTAAGAATCTTGGAACTAAAACCGATACCTGGTGCTACTATTTCCTTGCTTTCATTAGGTTGCTATGTCATATAGCTCCTTTGTAAATTCTGTGATCTTCATTATAAAATTAGTTCAAATTTTTGCCCACATTACTTTGATGGGAAGACTCTTCCAGGCTTATCTGTGACAGTGTTTAGGAACCTTAGTTTGAATCTGAGCTGACTCTTTGGCTAACTTCTAACCATTTGTTTTCATTCCAATGTTCTTTTACCCTGACAGCTTTCTCTTTCAATAGTATTTAAACTCCTGTTGTATTTATACTCCGTAAGAAACTTAAGGAATCCTGCAGTGTAAAAGAATGTGGAGGGCTGATGTAAACGATCTTCAGGCGTCTAAATCGTTAAATTACTTTTGATTTCTCCCTGTCTTTATACCTGCCACTCTTCTCTATATTTGGTATACACAGAATGCAAGTTTTAGTGGTATAGGATTATACCAGTGATGCAGTGTTAAAGACAAAGTGTTCAGTACTCCTCAGGGTCTCTATTCCTGTTCTCTTTCTAAATGCCATACACAGCTTCGCGCTTGATGATACAGAAGACTAAATGTAGTATTTCTCTGCATATATGGGCACTAGATATGCAAAGACCATCCATGAGGGTTGGACTTCTAAATATTCAAACTAGCTATTGCAGTATAATTCTGAAGCGATACTCAATGCAGTGGCAAAATTACTTACTTTACTTTTGAGGGAGCACTAAATTTTCCTACTAAGATGACGTCCATGTCATCATCACAGATTGCTGTTTGTTCAGTTCCTTTTATTTGGATGTATCTCAGAAAAACATGTATTATGCATGAACTCTGCAGATGCAATATGAAATCATAAGCCGTCCAAACGTTGAGCTGTTTTGTATTACATAAATGCCAGTAAATTTGCAGAGTTACCAAATACTAAACTACTTCTGTACACAAGGACTAAGGCAATATGTGCATTCAGCAAGTTCTTTGTGTTCTTCATTACTACAAAGACAAAAACTAAAAAACAAAGCTGTCAACGAAGAAAAGTTTGCTAAATGAAGACCAAAGATTGTCTCTGGAGCCTGTGTTTGAGATTGTTGCACAGGCAGCTGAGGAGACACAGCAAGATCTTCAAGTAGAACTGTGCTGCTGTTGTGTTGAATTTTATAAGCGTAACAGGCATGAGCCAGAATAAATTTAGAGAGCTGTGATGCTAACATTAACAATTGCATACGTATAGATACTATTTCTGAAAATGCTGTGACAGATACTCAGGGAGAGAAAATCACTTTCAGCATCTTTAAATATTTCCCTATATGTAGAATATGTACTTGTGGACTTTCTTCTCTTAACGTCTCTTTCCTCTCCTGCCACACACAGTATGCTTTCCTGCCAAACATTAAACTTAAACACTGAGTAATATTTTACGACTTAAGACTCATCAAGTCATTGGAGCAAATTATGGTTTTATAGTGTTCTTGTCTCTGTTTTTTTCATATTAGGAGAATAAAAATCTTGCCTATTGTTTATTTCTATAAAAAAGCAGTAGGCATAAGCCAAGTATATGCCTTTATTAAAATAGTTTAGTGTTAGCTGGAGTGATGTTAATACAACTGCAGACTAAAATCACAGAATTCTGTTAAAGGCAATGAAAATTTCTTTTTCTTAATTAGAATTTTTACATAACCTTAATGATACACATCACTGCTTGTGATGGGGAAAAAGATACAACCTTAGAAAGTAAATAAATATGGATTTAAAAGTTAATATGTATGAATGATTAAATATTATTCTTGTTTAGCTTACTATAAACTCCAACTAAGATTAAGAAATTAAATAGTCTATTCATTTGTCCTTTAGATAGAATTTTAGATGCTCAGGTCCTGAAACAAACAAAAAAACCCAACCCAGCAAAAAAACCTCCAACCCAGTAATAAAGTGTCCTCGACTATGTTAAAAACATAAGGCAATTTAATGGGTACTAATCCTCTGTGTGCTATAAACAGTATTTTTGATTAATAGTTTTATTTTGCTTTAAACAAATATGAATTTACTTGCTAAATTCAGAGAAGTTGTCGCTTTATTGTTGAAAAATTTGTTTCTGAAGTTTTGGTAGAGGAAAGAAAAACAATCTGCAGTATGTTCAGTCTTGGGGTGGGTAGGTGACAGCACTTCCTACCATGCGGTAGTGTATCAACTTTGTAATGATTAGAAAAGACTAAGCTATTAGGAGAACGTAGCATCTGCATTCTTCATGGATTTGAGAAGTTTACTCACATTAGCCAGTTTACTCTTTATGGATAAAAATACATCAGATGAACTATTCTGAATTATGCAGCTCTAACCAATTGTACATACATAGAAATCAGCTGTTCTTTTAACATAAGCTGATAAACAGTTGGCAACTGTTGCAGGTCATTACCACATTTGGCTAGATGGAAATCCTTTTTACATTAATGTACTATATTGTCACCTAAAGACATACAAACTTTTGAAGCTTATTTAGACATGTTCAGGCAGAATCTAGTTTTTTTTTTGTAGCAGGTTGCTGGAGGTTTCTATGGTAGAGCAACAGGCTACATTTTTGTAAAATAAGAGACTAAGCAGATACATTGAAGTGATAACCTTGCATAGGGGTTTTGCACAAGGAAGGAGGAATATTTTACTATCTAGAGATGGAGCAGGCACTTTGGCAGCAAAAAAGAATTTTTAATTACATTCTTTTTGCAGTCTGACTTTTTTAGTAGTTAGTCCTGCTGCTACTTAAATTTATTCTTTTTACTATACATTAGTAATGAATAAGTTTATTAGTAGTTAACATATGTATTATTATCCATTATTTGATAGAAAAAAGAATTATTGGATTCTTACATTTCCAAGGTGTAAGTGTGAAAGAAATACTATGTACTTACTCTGAAGGAACTGTAATTGAATCACACTCTATAATTGTGTTTACTTAAAAATAATGTAATGTTCTGAAATTCCTAACTATAGGGGACAAGAACTTTTTTGTAAAAAAGGGGGGTTTCAGCTTCAGAAATGGGAATGCAAAATAGAAGGAATTATCCGGATGTTGAAAAAATAATTGAGGAAAGAATGGATGTTTGCAAGATGGTTGATGATAAGCAGGAATTCTGTTTCATTACCAATGTAATTTAATAATAATAATAACACCACCACCACCAATAATAATAATTTTTTTTTCAGAATCAACATGTGATTCTTACTTTTAATAATTGTATATTGATTACAACTAAAAAGCAGGAAATAATGCTTTTCTGAAGTTCAGTTCCATTCTAAAGTCATATTTTGCCTATTCTTGGAGTTAAGCATCTTCTATTTTCTGAAAGGAAGTAGAAGACTCCCAAATAGTGAATTCTATGTGTAGAGAGAAAACTGGATTCTTCAGTTAAGGGAAGCTGGACTAAAGGTGGAGAAAAACTGAAGTAATCGTTAAGGTGCTTTGGGAGTTAAGCAAATCCCTTATTATTGCACTATAAAACACGTCTTTCTAAAGCTGAGTGGATAAAATGCTGTATAACCTTTAAGTAGCATCTTAATATATTCCCCTCAATTTGACAATAGCATGACAATTAACAGATGGAGGGAAGGCATTTACTGAGATTAGCAATACAACTGTCATTGACTCATACTAACTTTATAAAGGGAGCTGATATGTCAGGATACGTTTTTTTAATTGAAGCTGAAATTCACATAAGAAGTAATACTCCTTTGGAAAGCCTTGCCCAAAAATGTGGGTGCAAATATTTTAACATGAGTTTAAGGGAAGATGGGAGAAGCTTGTGAATAGAGGTCTGTTGAGGGCTATTAGACAGATAAACCCACATGAGGCTCAAGAAATCCTGTCAGAGTCTGGGGGCATGTTTGATGGGGATGCACATACACTGCTACCTCTAAAGTCACTGGTTTCAGAGTGTCCACAGTGAAACAGAAGACATCTGGAAAGGACTTTTTTTTTTAAGCTGGAGAGCTATTATCTTTTAAGTGAAGCTTTGCCTACTCATTTCCGCTGCCTTTCTCATTCCCGATCTTTCTTCCATAATTACTGGTGTTTCATCCATTGTGTGACTTGCTTGAGAATCTGTCACATTTTGTGCTTCGTGGTAGAACTAAGCTGAAGGGCCAGTTGGGTCTATTAATGCTGAACACAAATTTTAATGACAAAGGATGTATTTCCAAAGTTTCTTTTGTTAGTTCAACGGACATGCATGCCAGGGTTCTTTCCATACTGTAGTTAGATTTGTTAAAAATTAATGGTTGATGATTTCTGAAGGCTAGACACCCTGTTTCAAGGGGTAGTTTCAAGGACCTTTGACAACAATCCCAAAGAGTTTGAAACACTTCCCTGCAAACA